CCCCACCCCCACCCCCACCTGATGAAATTTCTCAAAGGCTCGTATGTCATGAAGTTTCCTATTTCCAGAAGGGATTTCTCATTCCTGTGAAACACTTCTTGTTGTTAAGTGCTATTGAGTCAGTTCCAACCCATAGCAACCCTGTATAGGGTTTCCGAGGAGCAGCTGGTGAGCTTGAACCCCCAACCTTGCAGTTCAAACGGCTTTGCAGTCTGGCGCCCTAACCCACAGCACCACACCAGGATTCCTCTGAAACACTAGCAGGGTTTTAAAATACATTCAGTTCGCTGTGTAGGGTTTTCTCTGTTTTATTCTGATTTAAAAAAAACACACACTTTGTGTTCAGGGGTGGGTGTTGTTAAGTGCCGTTGGGACAATTCTGACTATATAGGGTTTCTGAGGAGTGGCTGATGGGATTGAACTCGTGGTTGAAACTGAGGGCCTGTTTTTCCCATAGATTCTGTTTTTGACTTTTTTTCTCTTTTGGTTTGTCCATTTCTTCCAGAACTATTGCCACGCACCTTGTATAGTGACTTGTGCACTTGTTTCTCTCTGTAATCAGGAACTGTGTTTTAGAACCATTGTCCTGCCCCTCATAGTGCCAATCACCAGACCTTGCTCACGGAACTTGTCCACAGTCACCATTGAATGAGTAGCTGAAGATGGTAGCATGGGAATATTGTTAGAGTTTGGCAGGTGGGAATGAGTTTGGATGAACACCTGTCAGAGGAAGTGGGTATTGGGTCTGTCGTCTACGGAGCTCCTGTAGGTATTTGCAAAGGATGATGGGTCAGTGTAATCGATGGTTAGAACTAGGAACTGTGGGGATAGCAGTCCGTGTCTGGTAACAGAAATGCTGTGTCCAGTGTGTGAGTGGTCAGAGGAAGAGAAGAGTGGGCCAGACAACTGGACATGGACATTTGTTGCTGTTGTTAGGTGCCATTGAGTAGGCTCCCACTCATAGTGGTCTTATGCACGAAACACTGGGCCAGCCTCACAGCTGTTGCTATGCTTGAGCCCAATGCTGCTGCTACTGTACCAATCCATCTCATTGGGGGTCTTCCTCTTTTCTGATAACCCTCCACTTTACCAAGCATGATGTCCTTCTCCACAGATTGGTCCCTTCTGACAATATGTCCAAAGTATGAGAGACCAAGTCTGACCATTCTAGCTTTTAAGGAGCATTCTGGTCATACGTCTTCCAACACAGATTTGCTTGTCCTTCTAGTAGTTCATGGTATTTTTAATCTTCTCCTCCAATGCCATAACTCTAATGCACCAATTTTTCTATAGTCTTCCTTATTCACTATCCAACTTTCACATGCATATGAGGTTATTGAAAATACCATGGCTTGGGTCAGACCTTAGTCCTCAAACTGTCCTGTTTTAGTTCTCAAACTGATATCTTTGCTCTTAAACACTTTAAGAGATCTTGGGCAACAGATTTGCCTCATGTAATAAATAGGTCATTTGATTTCTTGACCGCTGCTTCCGTGTGTGTTGATGATGAATCTGAGCAAAATGAAGTCTCTAACAACTTCAGTCTTTTCTCCATTTAACTTGATGTTATTTATTGCTCCAGTGGTGATCGATCTGTTTTCTTTACACTGAAGTGCAACCTATAAGGCTCTTCATTGGTAAATATTTGAACTCTTCACTTTCAGCAAGTGAGGCTGTATCATTTGCATATCGCAGATTTTTAGTGAGTCTTCCTCCAATCCTGATGCCGTGTTCTTCTTCATATAATCAAGGTTCTCAGATTATTTGCTCAACATAAAGATTCAATAAGTTTGGTGAAAGACTATAACCATGGTGCACACCTTTCCTAATTTTAAACCATTCAGTGTTTCTTTGTTTTTAGTCTATATACAGCTTCCTCATGAGCAAAATTAAGTGTCCCAGAATACTCGTCCATAGTTTGTCATGATCCACACAATTGAAAGTCTTTGTGTAGTCAATAAAGCACAGGTAAACATATTTCTGGTATTCTCTGCCTTCAGCCAAGATCCATCTGATGTCAGCAATGATATCCCTCTTTCCACATCCTCATCTGAATCTGGCTTAAACCACTGGCAGTTCTCTGCCAATGCACTGTTGCAGCCATTCTTGGAGTATCTTTAACAAAATTGTACTTGCATGCGATATTAGTGATACCATCCAATGATTTCCTCATTCCGTTAGGTCACCTCTCTTTGGGATGGGCACTTCCAATCAGTTGGTCAAGTAGTTGTCTTCCAAATTTCTTGGCATTGATGAGTGAGTGCCTCTAGTACTCTATCAGTTGTTGAAAGATTTCAATTTGCATTCCATCATTTCCCAGAGCCTAGTTCTTTGTCAGTGCCTACACCTTGGACTTCTTCCTTTAGTATTATTGGCTCTTGATCATATGCTACCTCTTGAAGTGGTTGAACATTGATCATTTCTTTTTGGTACAGTGACTCACTCTGTATTCCTTCCATCTTCTTTTGCTCTTTCTGCATCATTCAATAATTTGCCTACATTGTTGTTAAAATGCCATCGAGTCAGTTCTGACTCATAGAGATGCTGTATAGGGTTTCCAGGAGTAGTTGGTGACTTTGAACCTCTGACTTTGTGGTTCAAGTCAACCTTCTGGTCCAGTGCTTTATCCCACAGCACCACACCAGGGCTCCACAGAAACCTTCAAAATTTTAAGTCAAGCCTTGAATTTTTCCTTCAGTTCTTTCAGCTTGAGAAACGCTGAGTATGTTCTTCTCTTTTGGTTTTCTAACTCCAGATCTTTGCACATTTCATTATAATGTTTGACTTTGTCTTTTCAAGCTGACCTTTGGTATTTTCTGTTCAGCTCTTGGACCTCCTCATTTCTTCCA